GTGCAAAATTATCCTGGGTTGTCTACATTTCTGAATTTGGTGATTGACATTATTTTGGTGTTCATCTAGGTTTATGGTGACCTGATTCTACAGGGGTTTGCCTGTTTGGATCCTAAGTTCTGAATGGCTATTATATTGTTTTATTTGCCCAAATTTTAGGCAACATTTACATAAGCTATGCCCAGAATATGCTGCTGTTTCTGTTTTTTTGTTTCATATCAAGTTTATAGTCACTTACAAGATAAATAAGCTCCTTTGTTTTTTTCATCTTTTTAAGTCATGTTATTTTCTTCTTGCTTGTTTATAAGCTATCCTTGAAGATTATGCATCACAAGTTCCTGAGTTTTGTATTTCTTGGTTCTAAAATATGCAAGCAAAATACACATCAGAAATCTTAATCTGTCTGCAAGTTAGATTGTTATATGATCGAACTCCGTGGTATTATGTTGTTTTGAATTTTCTAGTTCTGTTGACATTCTTTTTCTTTTCTTCTTTTTTCTTTTGTAATTATGACTTGATGTTGGGAGACCCCAGCAATGTTAAACCACCATGCCAAGTTCAGTGTTTGAGTTTTGTGCCTTTGTTATACTAAATTTCCAATGATTTTGCTCACTAATGGCAAAAGCAATGTGATTTTTCTGTGTGGAGCTGGGGTATATGTTCTTGGTCGCTACAGTTTTCTGGAATAACTTAGGGACTGGAATCAGATAATTTAAGCAAACACATCTCAAAAAGTTGTTTATACTTTTGAAGCATACAAAGGTAGCTAATTTCAACCTTGGAATACAAAACTTTATTTTCCAAAAATCATGTGGCTTGTAGGGCATGATATTTCCATTTTACTATTGTTTGGTTGATTTCATGTCCATGGCCTACTTATCCAGTGCGTCTATTCTTGATACATAGATTCTTGAGCAATATGAAGAGGTAAGCATGTTGGACATCAAAGGAGCAGATGCAGCTAAAGCCATTCTTGTTGTTGGAATTATGACTCTTCATTCTTTTGGGGAAGGTTCTGGTGTTGGAGTATCCTTTGCTGGCTCTAAAGGTCTGTCACAGGGAATATTGGTTACTTTAGCCATCGCCGTGCACAATATCCCAGAGGGATTAGCTGTGAGTATGGTGCTTACATCAAGAGGTGTTTCTCCACAAAAAGCATTGATGTGGAGCATTATTACATCACTGCCACAGGTACTTGTTTTGGGTTTTGACCATTATTTACAATTCATTGATACATTGGCTAGACTTTTTGGACCTTGCACACATATTTAGCTAATGGTTTTCTTTTGTTAGCAGCTGCATATTGCTGCAATTTAGTGGTCTAATTACACGATACCCTTCTTCCTCTAGTTAATGCCCAATTATTTCTGGAATCTTGGTACAGCCAATTGTAGCAGTGCCATCATTTATTTGTGCTGATGCATTTAACAAGTTCTTGCCATTTGCTACTGGTTTTGCCGCTGGTTGTATGATTTGGATGGTTGTTGCAGAGGTGCTGCCAGATGGTTTCAAGGTAACTCGCTTTCTCTTTGTTTTATTACCTGTTTTGATGTGTGTGTTTTTGAGTTTAAATCCTTTGGTCTGGGTTTGGATGGAGCATGGCAATTGAATTTTCTCCTTAATATCTATACTATATATAAAAGGTGTAGGGGGTCTTTTGGTGTAAACTAAAACCTGTCGCTTTATGATATTCCTAAATTACCCTTCATGTATGACTGCCTTCTACATCTCCTTCCACCTCTCTCATAACTACCCACTGCCAAATAATAGTCTATTTGTTCGTCTACACTATATATAAAGGAGGAGGGGGTCTTTTGGTGTAAGCTAGAGCCTGTTACTTTATGATCTTCCTAAATTACCTTTCATAGATAACTGCCTATATCTCCTTCCACCTCTCTCATAACTACCCACTGCGAAATAATAGTCTATTTGTGCATTTTAATTATATGAATGTGAATTTTCTATTTATGTATTAAAAAAATATAAAATCAATTTTTATAAAAATTATTTCAACCAATATCTTTAAAAAAATTTTTAATATTTTTTGTAGTTGTACACACATCGAGTGTGCCTTGAACACTAGTTGATATAGTTTCAATGATTATCTGTTAGGATTTGAAGTTTTTCGAGGATTTTTTCTATTTTTTCTGTATAGTTTGTGTTTGCTTTTGCTCATAGCTTGTGATTACTTTTCCTTGTAATTTCTAGCTGTTGCATAGATTGTAAACCTCTCTTGCAGGTGCTTCATCAATGATCAATAAAAATTAATGAGCTTAACCCCCCACCCCCCTTCCCCCTCCCCAAAAAAAAAAGAGAAACAAAAGGATTTGAATTGAAGAGGAAATTGTTGTAAAAATACCTGTGTATCACTATCAGTATGGCATGCTATAATACTATGTCATGTGGTGAATATTCACAATTATCTTAAAATAAATATCTTTTTTGATTATGCATATTAGGAGGCCTCTGCATCTCATGTAGCATCAGCAGCTACACTTTCAGTGGGTTTTATGGAAGCTTTGGGTGCTATATTCCAGAATTTCAGCAACAACTACAGGTGAGCTTATGCATCCATGCATGCATTTCTGCATTCTGAAATATGGTGACAAACTGGGAGAAAATAGTCTTCTGTTCTTATTATAGGAAGGCTGTTTCAAGTGTACGCACATTTGTTTGCTCCATATGTCGCTCTATTTTTTTCACCTTATATAAGTATAATATGTTTCTTTGCATGGCTTTATTGCATTTGAAGGTATACATGAATGTTTATGGAATTATTAGACTAAGGTGTATTAATATAGGCAGTTGCTTTTGAACCCTCTTGTTTTCCATAATGCATCCGTTGTCTTGTTTTTCGTGACCTTATCCTTGGAATTGAGACCTCCAACTGCCATTATGCTCAACAAAAGCATTTATTTAAAGGTTAGAAAAGTCTGGCTGTACAGGTGAATTTGATAAATTATCTTAACAATCTTGATGATGTCTAAAATTATGTAATGGCCTGATTATTAAATTGTGAAACAATTATATTCTTGCTCCAATCTGTTAATTGTGGTACAACTGGCAAGGTTAAGGAAAATCTGTTAAGAAACATCTGTTAATTGTGGCAATCATTAAATTGAGCAGAATTTAGTTATCCATACTATTTTGCTGTCTCTTAAAGCGATATTTTGTGAGAGAAGTGGCATCGTATTTGGGATGTTGAGTTCGACGTTCTAAACAAAATAGGAATTTATTTAATAGATGATACCAATTGAGTACATGAATCTAGCACTTTCTAGTACTTGCTTATTATTATCGGCGGATGTGATCCCCAAATTGTTTTTTATCTTTGCTCTGTAGTTCTGAGGATGCTTCCGGTTTCTTTGTTTCACTGCTCTTTGGTCTTGGCCCATTGCTTGGAGGATTCGCCCTTGTTGCATTTGCTCTTGCTCTTCGTCTTCAGCATGCTCTCCTAACTGGGGTAGCTTCTGGTGTTGCCTTTATTCTTGGTGCCTGGCGGCCAGTACAACTGCTTCTTTCTTCGAAGATGGGGATTTTCCCCCTTATGCTGCTTCTTGCAGTGGGCTCTGCATTTGTCCATATAACTACTTCCAGTGCTTTAAAATTTGGAGGTCGGAAGCGCACTTCAGCTGATACATTATCTGCTGCAACTGGCATTCAAGTTAGTGCTCTTACCCTTCAGTCAATCTTGTGTTGTATGGCTGTTGCCCTTCATGCTCTTCCTGAGGGGCTTGCCTTAGGAGTTGCTGCACCTAAAGCATATGGGCTTGGTCAGTACATGGTGCTTCCTGTCTCCTTGCATGGTCTTCCTCGGGGTGCTGCTGTAGCTAGCTGCATTTTTGGGGCAACCGACAGCTGGCATGGCTCTCTTCTAGCTGCTGCTCTAATTGGGTTTGTTGGTCCGTTGTCTGCAATTGGAGCTATACTTGGAGGAATTGACTACAGTGGTTTGGACCACTTAATGGTGCTTGCATGTGGGGGATTACTCCCATGTTTCGGGAGTATTGTAAAAAGGGCAGTAAAATTAGACAAAAGAAGAACCGTATCGGGCTTGATAGTAGGCGTAGGATTTGCCAGCATCTGCCTAACTTTCACCAAGTTGGTGTGTTTGCACACACCTTATTGCAATTCTGCACCTGAGGCTGTGAGATGATACATGATGGAACTGCTGTATATATATGTATTGCTGCAGATTGGACGAGAGAACTTGTGACCAGTGCCTAGATAGTAGTAGTACTTAGGCTGGTTCATTCATCAATGCAAAAGCTCATTGAGCTGATTTTGTTAAACTTACATTTATTTCCACTGCTTTGCAAAAAGAGGGTATTACAATTATACAGCAAAGTAGGTGTTAAACTGTTTTGCCCTCTAATTGCAGGCATCACCAATTGACTTTATAGTCCCCTTTCAAATGAAAATGTGTAGTTATTTCCCTCTTAGTTAAATTGCTATATATGCACTGCCTTATTTTGGACAACTGCGTAAATTACTTCTGCTTCTGCAGCATTGCCATTTTTCTGCCTTGCATGGAACCTTGGTCATGTCTTGTGGCAACAAGAAGTAAGCGGTCCTGGGTGCAAATCTTGGAAGTTACATGGCTAATGAGACAATCTTGCAGATGTGACCGTCCTTGCTAGTACAGAATTAAGAGAAATTTCTCCTGTTTTCATGTGTTGGCAGCGTATTTTTGTATTCAATCAGTTGTCACTCTTGGTCACGGAAACCTAGATGAGAATTTCTGAAACAAGATGATGGAAAAGCTGTATATTTCCCTCAATTCTTGGCGAGGTAAGCTGATACATTCTCCTCAAATCCGGAAGCATATGCAGTACCTGCTTAGTCCCAGAAAGCTGCCAAAAATAGAATCTGAATGTTCTGATCCATCCAAAAATAGAAATCACCAAGTGTCATCTATAATGCTGACAAGTTTACTAGAGTAACTTTTTAAGTTTTGGATATATAATCATATACTCCTTTAAGCATGTAGTAAAAGAGTTTCTGTCATAAAGCTGTAATTCCAGAATTACAATGGTTACTAACTGTATTTCACAACAGGAAGTATCTATTAAATATGATCAATGTGCAAGACAATTAGACTTTTGATTGATAATGATAAATTAGACTTTAATAGTACAGAAAACAGTTTAAGACCAGATCAAATCCACCAAATACCACTTTGGTGATACAGACTAATGTCTTGCATCTACAGACTTGGAATGTTAGAAGAAAAGAACTAAAATACTAAAGAAAAAGACTTAAGAAATATATATATATATATTGAAGAAATTCACCCCTATTACGTTTTCGCTTATTGTATAATTGTAACATATAGAGCCATAGAAGGGATTGGGTAATGGATTTTCTGCCACTTTAATCTGTTACTGGGGTCTGGCATGCGATATCGTGGGCAGGATCACACAAAGAGGCCAGCAAGCAAAGGTGCTGTTTTCTTCTTGCAGAAAATCCAACTGCCTCGCTCATGTCTAAACCATTGGAATGGAGGCTAGTTGGGAGTTTCCAGTCAAAATGATAGAGCAAAAGAGCTAATGGAAGCTCAATATTAGGCATAGCAAATGAAATTCCTGGGCACATCCTCCTTCCTGCACCAAAAGGGAGATACTCAAAGTGAGTTCCAGTGAAATCAATGGAGCTGTTTTCGAATCTCTCGGGTCTAAAACTCTCTGGATCATCCCAATACTCAGGGTCCCTTCCTATTGCCCAGACATTAACTATAACTCTGGTCTTGATGGGGATTATATATCCGTCTATTTCACATTGCTCCCTACATTCTCTAGGGAGTAAAAGTGCAGCAGGAGGGTGTAGCCTTAGAGTTTCTTTAACGACCAACTTCAGGTACTCCAAGTCTTGAACATCAGTTTCTTCAATTGTTGTTTTCTTTCCCATAAAGGCTCCCCTTATTTCAATCTGTGCCTTGGCCATCACATATGGATTTCTGATCATCTCAGCCATCGCCCATTCAACAGCTGCGGGTACATTTGCAAGGCCACCTGTAAACAAGTCCTGCATTTGTGCTAAATTTCTTGGTCACAAACTGCACATGGAAATCACAATTGAAGGCAAAAGGCAAAAAGAATTTCATGACATGTACTTACAATCAGAACAGCTTTGATATTGTTGTTGGTGATTGGAATTTGAAGATCACCACTTTCTTTTACTCTTAGTAGAACATCACTTAGATCTTCATCGCTGGATTCTCCCATGCCCTTTCTCGTTCTTGCTAAGTTATCAACACGCTCAGCAATTATGTTGTCGAAAATTTTATCAATCTTTTGGTGCATCTTCATGAATTTAGTACTCACCCGACTAAAGGGATGAAGCATCTTGTATGACGGAAAAAGATCAGAAACATCAAAAGTACTTACAACGGGCAGTGCTTGCTTCAAAACCTGTACGAATGTATCTTTATGCCGTCTGCTTACTTTCCCGAATGCTGCTCTAAAAACCATGGAGCTCGTGTAGGAGGACAGTTTTTCAGTTAAATTGATTGGAGCTCCAGCAACAGATAGAGCCTGGATAGATGAAATGAGATGCCAAGCCTCATCTTGCATGATAGAGCCAAATGATCGGACTTTCTCAGCACCAAGGAGCTCCATGGTGCATATTTTGCGCATTTGTCTCCAGTAAGGACCGTATGGGGAACCAGCTATGTTTGTACTGTCATAGCAAACAATCTTGGAAGCTAGAATTTCTGCCCTATCTGACAATGCAAGATCATGAGTTTTCAGAATCTCTCTAGCTAAACGTGGTGATGATACCACAATTGAAGAAATCTCCCCCAACTGAAGGTGCATCAGAGCACCATGTTTCTGAGCTAATTTTGCAAGAGCACGATAGGGTGGGGAACCTAGCAAATGATGCAAGTGTCCCACAAAAGGGAGCTTCCATGGAGATGGGGGTAGCTTCTGGGATGCTTTTGATCTCTTGCGTTTCTTGATTAAAGCTGTAACAACGGCTAGAAGAAGAAAACAAGCTATGAAGTTGGAGGTAAGATCCATCATCTTTCTACCTTTTATTATGCTATTGGACTAAGCCAAGCTAATTGGTTAAATAGAAGATCCTTCTGTTCTCAAGGAAGTGAGGATTCCAACTCTCATAGGCAGTAGGGAAGAGAAGATGCACCATATATTTTCAGTATGCGTGGGGTGGCTTTAAATCCTTAGTTGTGAAAGTTTTCGATCCAATTCAGTCGCCCAAATGAGACACTGTCACATGGTTTCCACTAACTCAGCTTATATGTAAAATCAAAAAAATTGTCACGTAACGAGATTAGTGAATTTAACATGGAAAGGTTTTTTATGTCTATGACTAAATTGCGATTGAATATCCGCAACCGAGGAGTTGAAGCCGCCACGGGAAAGATACAGAAAATAACTAACTAGAAGTCTTCAAATTAATAATAATGCAAAGTAACTAGAGATGCATACGAGTCAAATTTAATCGAGTAGCTCGCGAGCTTGTTCATTCAAAACTTGAGTTCGAACTCACATTGACCGAGTTCGAGTTTGAGTTTAATATGTGAAATTCGAAAGTTCGTCAAGCTTAATCGAATTCAATCGAACTTCACATATAAATATTTTTTAAAATTTTTTTATTTATTAGTATGAAATATTTATTTTGTCCCTTGTTTAAAATTATATAAAATATAAACTTATATTTCTTAAACTCAATAGGCTCGATTAGGTTTGATTAGACTCGATTGGGCTCGATAAGGAATACAAAATAAAATCGAACTAGAGTCGTGTACTACTCATCTCGATTGGATTCGATTACACCTCTAAAAGTAAATGTCTTTCAGTTAACTTGCTTTTTCAGTTTATATAAAATATAAACTTATATTTCTTAACCTCAATAGGCTCGATTAGGTTTGATTAGACTCGATTGGACTCGATAAGGAATACAAAATAAAATCGAACTAGAGTCGTGTACTACTCATCTCGATTGGATTCGATTACACCTCTAAAAGTAAATGTCTTTCAGTTAACTTGCTTTTTCTCCACGGAAGAGGTTTTTCAATTTTCCCAAACTTATGAAGATTATCATGCCGACATCTTTGCATTACTTCTATATTCTACTACTTGAGTGTACAAAAATCCTAGTCGTCCATTTGATTGTTTGCCCTCAATTGAGATAATACAATGCTTACAAGGAACAGGAACATTTATTTATAGTCATTTATCGTGCAATTGTTAAATAACATTTATTAGTAGTCATTCATCAACAAGAACATCTTATTATTAGGGGGTAATTTTAGATACCTCCCTTTGGGGTTTTTGACTATTTCATTGGCCTTCCTCCAAGTTTTGAAAATTACACTAACCTCCATTGACATTAATTATCTTGTAACATTAAAATCCAACCAATAATTATATCCCACAAACTCGAGATTAATTATAACACTTGTGTTATAATTTGGGATACTGTTTGTTTACACTAAATGTTGTAAAAATTACAATAATCATTCTATGTTGTAACATTATTATTGTACCAAATTTGTGGGATATCACAATAATGGTACAACAATAATGTTACAATAATGACAAGTTTGGTTCATCGTTTTATCTTGTAACATTATTGTTGTACCAAAATTACATTATTGTTGTAACATTAAGTATGTAGTAAAAGAGTTCCTGTTGTACCAAATTTTCACAAATTAATTATTGTTGTAACATACCAAAACTGTCTTGCACAAATGTTGTACCAAAATTACAATAATGGTACAACAATAATGTTACAATAATCACAAATTTGGTGTATCGTATTATCTTGTCACATTAAGATCCAACAAATAATTATATCCCAATAATTATGTACACTTATGTTATACTATTGTACAATTTACAAATTGTGTTATACTGAACAAATTGTAGAGTTCAAATGTACAACAGTATAACACAAGTGTACACCAAATTATATCCCAATTCAAATCAACAACTGCACATATTAATACCTGACATAACCATACTTACCTTGATCTCTCAAAGCAATATTTGCACAAAAGAATTCTCAACGCAAACATTGGCAGGCTCTTAGAAATCAAAGGTAAACCACATTATCATAATCTTACATTTTGGAAATTTCAAGTTTTGGCCAAATTCTTGCCTTTGACTGTCAAGAAAGATCTATAATGGTTCTAGTTTGGGTTCTTTACCGGTCATGTCTGTCCAAATAGAGTTCTTCAGATACACAACTGCACGATTGGTTTCCATCCTTACTTATCTGCATCATTCCCTACTGATAAATTCACTTTTCATGTGACCTGCTTAAATTTACATCGATCGAAATTCATACGCAAATGAGACCCAACAGCTCAGAAATCTCAGAAACAATAATAGGATCGCTTGTCAACTGAGTTAGACTGAACTGAACCTGCCATCTTCTGCCAGCATTTTTTTAGCCTGAAAATCATAATCTGGAATCCTTTTGGATGATACGTTAGACTAAAGGACTCAGACTGAGAAAGTGACATCTAACTCTTTTCTTCTAAGATTAATCTTCTATACACTGATAATATATACACTATTATCGTTAGAAACATGACAATTAATATGAATTTAAAATTCAAATTTTATACATGTATTGTAATGTAACTATGATAATATATATAATATCAATGTATATATAAGACTAACTCTTCCTTTCATAGTTGATTATTGAGGGATCAAGGAAGATCTTTCTTATTTAATCATTGACAGAAGTATCAAAATTCCCTCGTTTTTTTTTTCCCCAACCATAAAGCAGTTGGATTAGCTGGTGCAACTCTATGTAGTCCAAAAACCTCCATGTTTAGGATTTGCTGATATCCTTCCATTAGTCTACTCCCAACAGTAGTAGACACCGTCTCCTCTCATCCTTCTTCTTCTCTCCTCTCCTCTTCCACTATCACTATTTAGCTCCCTTGCGGTGGAGGAAGCAGCGGCAGCAGCTTCTGCCAAAGGGATCACACTCATCTGCATATCTGCCAACAGGGATTCAGTCATGTGCATTACCTTTTTCTTCCATCTCCTTTCAAAATTCCAATATGATGATTCTTTGTAATGGATTGAAATTTTTTTTCTCGCCACATTAAAATCGTTACGAAAATCCTTATAGTCATTGTCCTCTTTCTCAAGAAAAGTTAAAATAGGCTTTTAAAATTTTTTGGTTATGATAAAAAAGGTTTCAAGAAAATCCAAATTTATGCCCAAAATCACAAAACAAATCTGGACAAAATTAAAAGAAAAAAGAAAACTGAAGATTGGATTCCAGATAGATTTGGGGGAAGAAAGCAAATAAGAAATCTTAATCTATTGCAAGTTGATTTGTTTCTTGTCGCAATGGTAACATTTCTATAACCTAAATTATCTTATGTTGGATCCTTAATCCAACGTTGGACTTATATGTGAATGATTATATGTTGCAAACTATCAAATAAGGTTAAGTCCAATTAAAGTAATCAAATATGGTTTGGGTTCAATGTATTTAATAGGGTGTGGGTCTTTAATGTGTAGAAACTTAACGGTATTTCCTATTTATATGATAGGTTGAAATAGGAATCCAAAAGGTAACATGAATGTTATCTATAAATAGGATTATGGTCCACAGGTCACACATTTTCTTATTGTCATATTTTCTAGTACTATAAAATAACTCTTTCCTAATATTCCATTGTCAGGAAAAATATCAGAGAGAAATTAAAGGGCTCTCTCAAGAATTGGCAAATACGTGTGAACTTGGAAGGCCACCCAAAAATCTCTAGAGATTCAAGCACCAGTTTGTCAACATGAATTCAGGTACATTTCCACAATTTTACCGTTAATTTAATTCTTAATAATCGCCATATAGATTTTGGGTTTAATAGGTGATAGTTTTCACCAAAAGTTGAATATAAACAACCACTCTAATAAGTGGTATCAGAGCAAAATATGGTTAATTATTAAAAAATAATTTGTAGTCTTTGAAAGTTTCACCTTAAAGATTGTAAATTATGTTTGGAACCTGAGTTTTTTGGGAGTTTGTCTAAAACTTTACTGTAGTGCACTGTAGAAGTTTTTGAAAAAATTTTGTAGAAGTTTTGTTAGGTGAAAAATTTTGTAAAAGTTTTTGTAAGATGAAAAACTTTTTTTTTTCTTTTTTTCTTTCCCTTTCTTTTTCTTTTTCTTTTTCTTTTTTTTTTCTTTCCTCTCTTTTTCTTCTTCTTCTTCTTCCCCGTTACCTCCACCACCCCCAGCTGCAACTCCACCTCCCGCCGCCCCCCTCTGCCCCTTCCCCCTCCCCCCACCTTCCCTCTCTCCCCCGCCGTCCCCCTCTCCCGCAGCCTCTCTCTCCCCCTTCCCCCTCCCCCCGCGCCTCTCTCTCCCCATCTTCCCCCCCCGCAGCCCCTCCCCCCTTCCCTCTCTCCCCGCCCTCTCTCTACCCCGTCTTCCCCCGCAGCCCCCTCTGCCCCCCCCCCGCCTTCCTCTCTCCCCCGCCGTCCCCCTCCCTGCCCCTTCCCCTCCCCCGCCGCCTCTCTCTCCCCATCTTCCCCCCCCGCAGCCCCCTCTGCCCTTCCCCCTAACCCCGCCTTCCCTCTCTCCCCGCCGCCCCCTCTGCCCCTTCCCCCTCCCCATCTACCCCCTCGCCGCCCCTCTCTGCCCCCCCTCTGCGCCAGACGTAAGAGAGAAAAAAAAAAGACAATGGAGGATGATGGCAGGGGAGGAAGAGGGGGAGAGGGAAAAAAATGGGGAAAAAAAAAAAGACCGGCACCGGCACCGGAAATTGGTGACGGAGCCGGCAATGGAGGTGGTGGTGAGGGAGGAAGAAGAAGAAAAGGGGAAGGGAATTTTTTTTTGTTGTGTTTTGGATATTTTAAGTGTGTAGGTTAAAAACTTTGATAAGTTTTTTGGGGTTCCTGTAGCAAAAGTTGTTAAAAAACTAGTTTTATACAAACTTGATAAAAAACCAAGCTTCCAAACAGGCCCTATGAGTGGTCTATTCCTGTGTTGTTTGTAAAGAATCGGTCAATAAAAAAAAAGGTTTGCTTGTTCCAGAAGAATTGACAAATCATGTTGTGATTCTTAAGTTTATTTGTATCCAATTAGTTTGTTTGATATAATGGCCGATTGA